AAAGAGAGAGAGGGAGAGAGAGAGAGAGAGAGAGAGAGAGAGAGAGAGAGAGAGAGAGAGAGAGAGAGAGAGAGAGAGAGAGAAGAGAAGAGAAGAGAAAGAGAGAGAGAGATATAGATATATATATAGAGAGAGAAGAGAAAAGACGAGAGAGAGAGAGATATATAGATATATAGATAGATAGATAGAGATAGAGACAGATAAATGGATAGATAGATAGATTGACAGATAGACAGAAAGAGAGAGAGAGAGAGAGAGAGAGAGAGAGAGAGAGAGAGAGAGAGAGAGAGAGAGAGAGAGAAGAGAGAGAGAGAGAGAGAGAGAGAGAGAGAGAGAGAGAGAGAGAGAGAGAGAGAGAGAGAGAGAAGAGAAGAGAGAGAGAAGAGAGAAGAGAGAGAGATTGTATATGGATTATGCTTGACGATTATTAAAAGGTCTTATCCATTATTATCTCTCTCTCTCTCTCTCTCTCTCTCTCTCTCTCTCTCTCTCTCTCTCTCTCTCTCTCTCTCTCTCTCTCTGTGTGTGTGTGTGTGTCTCTTTCTTCTCTCTCAATCTATATTAGTGTTTGAAGTCCTATATCAAATATAAAATTGCTTCTATATAAGGAAAAACATAAGCCTTCAGTTAAGATGCATTAACATCAAACTATTATCGGATCCCTTTGTGATAATTCGTAAAATATTTCATCTCCACTTCCCCTTGTTACAAGTTTCGAGAAAAATTACATGTCTAACAATGCTTATTTGAAAGAGCGAGATCCATATAGAAATGATAATTTTCTTTTTCGGCGAAAGAAAAGAATAATGTCTTTGGTTGCATTTTGTGTTTTTCCGTTTCTGGATATATTCGATTGCTGTAGTTCCAAAATAATGATCACTCTACTGAATAAGTGAGAGAAGAGAAAATTTTCGTTCATGATCATAATTCAGAATAATCATAAAGCCCCACAAGAAAGCATGGAGGGTCAGGAGCCGCGCTGATTGGAGGGTCGTCCGTGACCGCCTCTCTTACGCCCCGCCCCACGAGTTCTCCTCAGCCAATGAACGCGATGATCGGCCGAGCCCAGACAGTTCATAAGCCGCCGAGACAGCCAGTCGGTAGTCATTCCACATCATCGCACAGTGAAATTACAACCATTGTGGATTCGTAGCCGTTCGGAACCTTGTAAACCCCAGGATATTTTAGCACGAGTGATTATCAGACCTTGAAGTTCAAGTGTGAGAACATGCAGCCCTTCCGCGTCACTTCGGAGATGATGGGAGGCCTTGAGGAGCGCCTCTCCTTTTTGGTGGGACAGCAGGTCCCCGTCAGCCCCCCCTGCAGCCCTCCAGCAGGAAGCATGACTCCGCCTTCACCCACACTGCAGGAGGAGTCAAAGAACCTCGCAAAGGATGAACAACTTGGTAAGTTCACTTTCTGAACTCGAGTGATTTTGGACAAATAGTTATGAGTGTATAAGCCTATATTCCATGAAAGTAGTCCGATCTCGCCTGTTGTTTTCGAGACTAACGTGTCGTTCCCTCTCTCCTCCTCAGGGTCCAACAAGCCCAGTGACGCCTCTGCCGACGACAAAGCCTCAGCGACCCCGAAGTCTACTCCAACAGGCCAGAACGCCGCCGAACTCCGCCGCTACAGGACGGCCTTCACACGGGAGCAGATCGCCCGCCTGGAGAAGGAGTTCCTTCGGGAGAACTACGTGAGCCGCCCCAGACGCTGCGAGCTGGCCCAGGAGCTAGGACTCTCCGAGGCCACGATCAAGGTGTGGTTCCAGAACCGCAGGATGAAGGATAAGCGTCAGAGGATGGCCGTGTCCTGGCCCTACGCCGACCCCGCCCTCACAGCCTACCTCCTCCACGCCGCAGCAGCCTCAGGAGCCTATCCTCCTTACCTTCCTGCAGCCTCCATGCCCAGCGCCCCCTGGACGCCCACAGGAGTCAGCGCCGGATCGCCGATGCCCTACACCGCCCCGCACTTGGCCTACCCTACGCCCACCACGCCTTCCTCCCTCGCCCGCTTCGCCCCTTACCCCCGCCCACAGCCGCCCATGCTCTCCCCACCCTACTCCCTCCCAGCCGACGCCCCCCACCATCCCCTCTCCCCCACCTTGCCCGCCCCCATGCTCCCCCACCCCGCCGCCGCCATGTGCGCCGGACACCTCCCCACGTGCCCCGCGCAGACGTCGCCGAAGGAGCTGTGCGTGTGCCTCATGTACCCCTCCCTGGCGCAGAGCCTGGTGTCGCAGCCCTCCTCCCTCTCGGCCACCACGACCATCTCCCCCGTCGTGATTCCCCCGCGAACGACCTCCAGCCCCGATAGCCGCTCCGTGTCCCCGCTCACGACCAGCAGCTTCTCCCCCGTGTGCAGCAGCAGTCCCAAGGGCGAGGCGTCCCCCCAGTCCACAACCTCCCGCTCGCCAGTCCAGACCTCCGTCAGCGCCACCTCCAGCGCGCCCAAGCTCTTCAAACCCTACGATGACGAACCGCTGGCACGCGTTTAG